GATCGGGAAATGCGGGCTCTCGATCTCCCCTGCGATTCCCGATCTCAATCAGAGCACGAACCTCACGGCTGACTCTGGTTTCCGTCATCATGGAGACCTAGTTCGGAACCTGCGGTTTCCGTTGAGTCCGAACGAAGCTTATTGCGACGGAAATTCGAACAGGCGGACTCCACAAATAAGCGAACAGGAATCTGGTCGTACCTCCATCAACGCATCCTTCGTGAGCCTCAAGTTGGACAGTGAGACATAACACCACATCGCCAGCTCAGATCTCATTAGATCGTGGATGCAGCTCCCAGTCCGGGGAACGCTCCCAGCACCCTGGATGGTCCCGACGCGGAGGTTCGCGCGTATATTGGGTTCTTGACCTGGGAAATTACGTGGGGATACATAAGTTCGACTCCTCGTCTAAGTTCCTCTCCAAACTTGAACAGGAGCGGAAAGTCTCGCTCGGAGTGGGACAGTGACTCCATCTCTGCATGAGGAAGAGGAGGAAAGAACTGGAAGTTCTGCTACAAGCAGAAGAAGTGAGGCCGTTTCTTAACGGAGACGTCTCCACTAGGCCGCCGAATCTGACTCAGCTGCCGCTCACCAGCGATCAGCCTTCCCCACGAAGGTGGATCTCTGCTGTACCTCGCGGACACCGCTTTTGGCGGTTTTCACTACGCCGACGCCAGACAGAGGAAGTTATTCTCCCCGACAGACGAATCCTATTCGACAGGATTCTCAGCGGGGGCTAATTTCACAACGCACGTCTTTCTCTCCTTTCCAATGACGGAATACCCAGGACACTAGGTAGGACCTCAATCTCTATCGGGCTTCCGAGCCGGAAAAGCAGCTATGGAAGTCTTCTGTACATTCCCGATATAAACATGATGTTACGACTTTTTAGCAAGAAACTGCCGAGCGAGCAGTTCGGCTTCCGCCGTGGAGTCGGAACATCGGACGCGATTCACTACTTCCTATCCGAAGTCGAGAGGATAGAGGAAACACGGTAGAAAGGTGTTAGAAGTCTTCATTGACTGCATCGGAGCCTCCGGCACAGCATCGATGCCGTCGAAGCTGTCGTTTCATGCCAAGTTGGCTCTGCGACGCGACCGACATTGTCATCGCCCTTCTCTACCGAAACGGGTATCCACTCTTTACAACCGAAGGGTTCCGCTTGGCTGAGAGCCCGAGGACTGGTCGTCAAGTCAAGGATCGCGCATTCCGCCCGACTCGGAAAGACTGAGAACCTGCGGCTCGTAGGTCCTCGTGAGACTTCCACGTATCCGGGAGACCGGTCACAACACTCCGAGGGCATCTCTCACGCTACGGACTGATGAGTATATGGCGATACATGACCATCGAAGATCTTCAAAAATTCGAGCCATGCTTCACTCTTCGAACGGAGCGGGCTCAATGCCTTTATCGCACGGCTCGTAGTCGACAGGCACGTCTAAGTATTGAGTGGAGCTCCACTCCGGGGCGGACGCGCAGTGGCGCCTGATTGCGTGCACCTAGAACGGGAAGGAAAGGCCAAAGCCACCCATTGATGGGGCTTGAATGCTTTATTGCATGTCATCGTCGACCGAAAGATTTGCGCTTATCAACGGCGGTGAAATCCCGAATGATGAAGTTTCCTCGCATAGAACAGACGTTAGACCGGCCGCGGTCTTTCTCCCGTTCTGTGCAGGAACTTTTTCAATACTTATGTGTAGAATTGTCGCGACCAGGGACGCAATTACCGTGGGACAAACGGAGCTCCCAGCGCGTAGAATACTAACCCAACTCCCTAGACAGCGGACTCATCTCCTCTAATCCGCCGCAGATCATCATTCCGACTCCTTATGATCCGCAGAATCACCATACCTGATCGCATCTCCAGCTTCCATCGCCCTAAAGAACTTGAAGGCTTCACAGTGAGAGTAAGGAGTGAGATTGGTAGAGTAAGAGTGACGCGATGCGACCCCATCCGCGCATGTACGAGCATGCGTAGAACGGTGCTGGAATAGAGAATGATCCTGAAATTATTGAATGGCGATCCCCGAAGAAGCTGGGTAGTCGTCGGGAGCTGTCTTCCATTTCAGGGTCGCCGCGTCACGAGGCCGACTCGCGAAATCCTCTGGGCCACACTTCATACATATATGTTCATCCAATTCGGCTCCGCGAGGAATGATGAGGGATTTTCGACGGGGGCGTTGGAGGATTTTTGACGTGAAGACGTCTTCAGTATGGCTTAGGTGGTCGGTCGAATGTACTTCGTCTTTCGTGTAACGAAATTTGTCCAAGTTCGGGGCCATCGGACTCCGCTTCTGCGGTTCGCTTCGTCTTCTCGTTCGTCAAGACTTGAAGCACATTTAAGGTTGCGTCTTCCGTCCGATTTTTGCGGAATTGTATCGTCGTTCTGGGCGTTTTCAAAAGTCCCGAAAAGGCCCGTCCTAATATCCTAAAATACAGATAAATGACTTATGGTTATGGTTATGGTTATGGTTATAATTGATCCTCGCTGATGTCTACACGTTTTCATTGTCTACATGAGCGACCCTGGTCCAGGGGCGAGTTTCCTCAGCGGATCCTTCGGGTCTCATCCTCCCACTTCTCGAGCATTCTCCTCGTCTCCTCCCATTCCCCCCCATCATCCACTCCAATGAAGCCCAGTCTCCTGGCGAGCGCTTCCGTCTCGTGATGATGCGAGTCACATTTCATTATTATGTGTGGTATGGTTTCTATTTGACCGCCGCATCTTGTACAATGCGGGTCAATGGATTCGTATTTCGCGCGGTGGGCTCGCGTAGGTAGCATTCCCGCACGGGCCAATGCCAACAGTGCGCTGCCCCGGCTGTTTGTGTACAAGCCGCGAGCAGTCATGCCTCTCTCCTTCCATTCTCTGTAGAGCTCCAGGCTTGATTTGGATCTCATTGATTCCGACCAAGTCTCGCTCAACCTCTCTTTGATACGTTTCTTCACCGTATCATTGAAAAGCGTGATCCTCGCGCTCTGATCTTCCCGATATTCAAGGGGGATGTCCGAGCAGCCGAATCTTGTTTTCAGGAAATTGAGTCTCTTTATGGCATCCGAGTATATGTTGACTGCAGCCATCATCGATAGAACCATTCTGGGCCATCGTGATGAGTCCATTGCACTGATCCTTGCAAAATATCGGATTTTACTTAAGTCCTGTATATATATGGTATTTTCCCGGTGGTGAATGAATACTCCTGGACTTGCGACAGCTGAGCAGATAGGCCAATTTGTAGCGCACCCGATAGAGTGTACATTCGAGATCAGAACATCTAGAAGGGTGTATAGCTCGACGAATACACCTCGACCCGTTCCCGGATAGCGTACCTACATTTATCTGCTTTGGCAGATCCTATTCTGATATGAGATATGGGTCGAACACACATCAACGACGATGCACCAAATATCAGTTTCAAGGAGCGGCTCTCCCCACAACTGCGGTGGGCAGCTCATTCCAGAGGAAGTATTATTTTCTTTTCCATACGGTCTCATTCTCAGGATGAGACCAAAAATAGCAAGTCGGAAACGCAAGGCAAGAAGAAACGAGAACCGGCCGGCAAAATAAAGCGAAGACGGGCGCGGAGCGGGTTGCTGAGCACCGAGCGCGGACTAGGGGAACGATTCGACCCATGATTGATACGCCACAAGGGCTTCCTTCACGAACAGTTCCTCGCATGAGGATCAGCCAGTAGTTGCGGGAGCGATTTCTGAACGGAGTGACTCGGATTTGGCGAGATCTCCCGAACAGTGCCATGTCTAGCAAGGAGCCTCCCTATACATCTGCCGTAGCTTCGAAGAGAATGAGTTCGAACAGGCGTGCAATGTGTGCGATCGACTATGGTTCGAGCAGATTTAGAAGGCAGTGACCGCTCGAGTGGCGAGTATGCCAACCATTTCCCAGGCGAGGATACGATCATGTTCAGACTCTGCGGCCGAGTTTGTTGTTTCAGAGTTCGTCGAACAAACAAAACCCCGGCAATGAGTAGGACGAATGGACATGAGTACCCACCCCCCTAAGCCATCAGACTTGCCGGACTCAGATCCCATAACCGAAAGACTGATCTCCCTTCGAATCCCTTTCATGCAGATCCGTCGCCTTAGACGAGGAGGTTCTTATGGTATCATTGGCCAGGTGATAGATGTGCCCGTGGAAGTTGACACTATGGTGCGATCCCTGCTGCGTGGTTTAGATGACGACTCCGCATTCAATGTCAACTTGAAGAAAGAAATCATTCATGAATCATCATACATCAGCGGATTTGTGAAAAAAAATCAGCAGTGTGGAGATGGCTACAATGTTTGGTCGAGCGACCCCTCTACAAGCTTTACAATGTCGAGGTGGATTGGTCTGTCTTCGAGGATCCCTCATTGGAGCTGTTTCCATAGCCGATGACGGTGTAGATCACCTGGATCCTAGCGATGCGCTAGAGTCCGAATCGATTAATTTTCGGCAACATACTATGATGTGGACTGCAGAGCACTGCCTGAATAACCTTCTCTTTATGTTCGATCATACTCTCCTTAATACCTCCATACACCCTTTGAAAGAGGTTAGGAAGACGTTTTTCGCCTCCATTACGGTAGTGTCCATGACACTACCACTGTGACTTCTTTCCCCGCGGGGAACAATAAAGTCCTAATTTATGACCCCTGGAAAAGTGCGCTCCGTCTCAACGGTCTTCTGCAATAACTTATTCTCGCTTCTCGTGCCCCCAGGCTATCCAATATGCAGTATCCAAGATGCTCTTCTGCGCATCGAATGATACTCATCGATCGATCTCCCTGTCACGATCGATTTCCCCGCAAAAATATTTCTCGAAATTCCTTCGTCCAAGTGAAGGAGAAGCTGATTACAACCGACAAATAAACTTAATCAATGGTCGAGGGTTTTCTTCCTGATGATTGAGGAATCACACGCGGCTCAGTTAATCATTTACGCTCATTCTTTATTGATATCAACACGCTCTTGAATCTCCAAATTACACTCCTTCGCCCCTTCAAATGTTCCGACTTCTCTTGCTGGGCCTTTCGTCCTCGCTGGCTGGGGATGGTCGCGCCGACCCTCTTGCAGCTGCGAGACGAACAGCCTCTAGGAGAGATTTCTCCGACATCGATGCGTCCCCGACATTTGAGCGCGGGAAGGTCCAATCCAGCATGCCGTCCTCGCATCCGGACGCGTATGACCTGTAGACCGGCTTGAACACGACGCCGTCAACTCTGTGCGGGACCTGCGATCTGAAAGTCGGCGCGAGCAACTCCCCAGTCATGTTGACCGGGAAGAAATCCTTCTTCCGGATGGAGAAAGGCTCGTCCACTGGACTGAAGACGCCAGCCTGCGCCGATTGCCGCCTGGCTTCGATGATCTCTTTCTGGATGCAAAGCTCCCGCACATTGAAGTCCATTTTCCGCACTGCGCTGCATCGGAAATGCAGAATATCGTGGATGAGGTAGCGCGGTCTGCTTTTACCCGCGTCTTGGTCGAAGACGAGTTCTCCGTCGAGCAGCGTTGTGAAAATCTGCTTCGAGGTGTTCCCCGAGTAGGGGAAAGTCAAGCCGGAAACTCGGTAGGCTTCGTTCCGCTCGTCCAAGAGGTACACGACGCCTGGATTTGTAATCAGCAGCAGGCAGCGGAGACCTTCCGATTTCCAGGTGACCTTGTAGGTTGCTCCTGAGAGTTTCGGCAGAGTCTCTCGGCTCAGACGCGAGTGGTTTG